GCTCAGAGCGCCGGGGAAGGGGCTGGAAGCCGCCGCTGGGGAGGCCCCCGAGGCGCTGAGCATCGGTGGGGAAACGGGGGGGGCTGGGTCCTGCGGGGTCTCTAGTGTGAGACCGGGCTGCGCGCAGCTTGTTGGGGAGGAGCTTTGTTAATTAGTTAGTCTCTGTGAGCCTGGGAATGTCACTTTTGAAACGGTTCTTTTTTTTTTTTTTTTTGGTTGAAATGCCTCGATGCCACAAACGCGTATTTGAGCCGCCTGAATACATGTGAGTATGGGTAAGGTTGGAGGCTCAGGGACAAACGCAGGCGTGTTTTGATTGGCACACCCGACTGCAGTCTGGTCCAGGCCTGGCATTTGCTTGGGTGCATCAGTCAGGCTGCTTGTGTGGTTCAGATCTTGAGAGATGATGTGGTGAGTCTCCCAGGCGGTGGGAGGGAGGGGGTAGAAGGTCAGCATCTCCATCAGCTCTTGCTCATGGAGGGGTAGGGAGTTACATGGGGTTTTTATGGAACCAGGAGGGTTGTAGAAACCCTGAGATGTTTGGTAGGGCCTCTGTCCTCTCAGGAACTTTGTAAACCTTCCACCTCTGGACCCAGGTGCTTCCCTGGCAGAGTGGAGATAAGGGTGCTGTAAACGGTTTGGGAGAAAACTGATTGACACGGTACAACAGAAGCAAATGGCACATTTCACCTCGTGCTATAAGGAGGTGACTTGCTGTCTGCTGGTCACCTTTCTACTGCACAGCTAAAAGTGTGCAAGTCATGTTTATTTTAAGGCTCAGCAAAGAGGAGAAGGACGCGGTCTGTTCTCAGTACTCTCCTCTTTCTGTTGGGAGCTTATTTTGGGCTGAGCAAGGCCTTCTTTTGGCTCTTGCTCCTCCTTGCAGCACGCTGGCGAGCAGTGGGTTCAGTCCTGGCTGAGCCAGAAGGATGTGGTGGTGAAGGTTTCCTTGTCTCTGAAGTCACAGGTCAACTGCTGACTGCTGAATTAGCTTGTGAGTGAGTACGTGCCCCCATTGAAAGCAATTGTCAGGGAAGTCAGCAGCAAAAAATTGTTTTGAATTGCAAGACCTGTGGTTCCATTTTCCACCCCAGGATCTAATTTAACATATCCTTGCACAGCAGTTTCAGTATGTGGAGCTTGTTGAAGGGGTGCTGGCTGACAGAGCTTTAGCACCCAAAAAGCCTGGATGCTAGCGGTCCAGACATGAAGAGTGGACACACTGCATTCCCGTGGTGTTGTACAGAAGTGTTTTGCTTGGAACGCCAGGGCTCGGAAAGTAATTAGGCACCACCACAGATGAAAGGGATGCTCTTGAATTATGCAGAATTAATTCAGAAAGAGCTGTTACTACTGTTTGGATCAGCAAGAGATTAGATATTACAAAAGAAGAGATAGTAGCAGTTGACAGAGTGTTTGGACTGCGTTCATATGCTGGCATGCTGGTATTCACATTATTATCTGCGTTTTTGAAGAGTAGGGGATAGTTTCCAGGTAGATGCTGCCTATGGAAGGTAACATTCTACATGAGTCACCAGGTGATTTTGACAGTTGGGCATTCTTTATTTTAGGATAAAGTAGCTTGATAGGTTTTAGCTTATTTAATGACAAACTTAAATAAAGCAATGTAGAAACTATAGCCTACTGTTCTGAAAATAGCTGAATTTACCAAAATGTCATGGTGTACTTGACTTTAGCAGTAGGTTGATTGGGGTGAAAATTGCCAAAACTTTTTGCAGGGGCAGGGGTAACCACCCTGAAAGTCCCAGGAGTGGTTCCTGTGGCAGATTTAGAAGTTTAGGCATAATTCATCTTGACAAAGTATCCTTGCAGATTGTAAAACTGTGATGACTGCTTATTTTGTCACTTGTTCCTTCTTTTCTCTGAACACCCACTTGCCTTTCACCCTGCTGTCACTTATGCCAGGAATGTGCTTCACCGTCCAGAAGGTTTCAGGTTTTTGTGCTTTGATGCTGTTGAGAAATTGTGGAGATCATCTGGGATCTTCCTTGCCTTCCTAGATTTCATTGTTGCCTTTGAGTCTCAGGCTGGTTGGATGGTGTTGACAGTCCTGTTGACTGTGTTGTGTGATTCTTCTGCACTGTAACACGTGTCTTTGCCTCTCTTTGCCTTCCACGTCTTTCACATGTTTTTGTGATGTTTAAAATTAAGCTTTCACACAATGCTGTTCGCCTTTATGATTCCAGTGGAAAGACCAGAATCTTGACTTCTGAGTAGTTTGAGGTTTTTGGTTTGGCACCTATCAGCATTCTGGCTGGGTTCTTCTATTCTTGTAGCACTGCCCATAATTGTCAGAGTTGGAGTGCTTCCCCGTTCGGCTGTTATTTTGCGGCTGTGAGCCAAATCCAGTGCCTGTAACCCTTGGGTGGCGTGCTTTAGGCTTGCCTCCATACAGAGCCTGGGGCGAGTCAAGAGCATGTGTTGTAGGTGTGACTTTGTACAAGTTTGGTTTGTGTGAGTATCCATTTGAGATTAAACTGGGATTATTTAAGTTTCACTCGAATTTGAATGTTACTAAAATTATCTGTCCTCTGCTTCAAATAGGAATGTCCGCACATTGTGCAAACTTGAATGAGGGAAACACAGCCCAGCTGATTTTTTTTTTTTTTTTCATGGTAACAGCAAAAATAGAGAAACTGAGACTTTCTTTCTCACACAGTATGTTCTCCTGATACATCATTGTCAGAGAAGAATGCACTAATGTGACAACTGGAGATGAAAATGATAGGTACAAATACCTCTTAAAAAAATTACATATGGTTGAAAGCGGTATAGAAATAATTCTGATGATTCCCACTGAAGGTGAGGGTGTGCATGCAGGCAGGCATTTTCTCTTTGCAGCCTGCCAGGGTGCTGCCTTGTAGAAAGGCAAGTTGCATCTGTTTTGGCTTTGGTATCAGGAAAGTTGCTTTCTCACTTTGAGACATGAGAATTCTTCCTGTTGATGTAGAAAGTAAAACAGCTCACCCCAGGCTTTTCTCCTGGCCTAATAAGGCTAAGTGGGGATGGCACTTGGAAAGATGTTGTTTTGACTGGTGGGGACCTCGGGTGCTTTACGTTGCCCATCATTTGTGCAGTGAGTGCAGGAGCATTGCCGAAACAGGTCCGACATCTCTCCCAGCGCTGTTTTCTGTCTCTTGTCACCCTTGGCTTTTGGTGACAGGTCTGCCAGCCCCCACGGGCACACACGAGCTGCCTGCTCCCAATTCTGTGGGAATGGTACCTCTCCTCCACACAGCCCGACAAATGTGGGTGCACCTCTGGATGTACTGGCGATATTTTGTCAAATTTAGAGAAGGTGAAACTGAGAGATGTCTTGTTGAAAAAACAGTTAGGGTTGGTTATTCTGGCAGTTGCGAGATTGTGTGCTGTTCATAGCCGGGAATATTGTCTGCTGCTTTTGAAAAGTACTTTGTGGGTGTTTAAACAAGTAAGTGTATTTTATGTGCAAAAATAACTAAGATCAATAGAAACAAAATTTCCTACTAGAAATAAGAATTTGGCTTTCTCAGCAGCTGTGAATTATTTCCAGCTTTCACTGGATTTTCAGTACTTTGCTTTTTTTACCTGTTATCTTTAAAAGACATTCTCACATGGCAGTATTTCTCACATCTCTACAGCATTTCAGCAGACGATTGTATATGAACCTGTGGTCTCTTCATGTTGAAATGCTTCCCCTCAGCAAGCTTGAAATGTTCATCGCCTCTCTGCCTTCCTGCCTTTTTTAGGGATTTAGTGGCAAAAAGATCCTCTTTTGAAGTGCCTTCATCTTTCAAGTGTTTAGAATAGATTAATATTTTGCCATTTGTGTTTAGGCAAATATGTATTTTCTTTCTTGGTGTATGCTACTTTGTTGACAGAGTTAAAATGCTAGGCTCTGATGCTGATTATAAATCAGTTCGTGAATGTACTTGAACACTAAAATGGAAATGCTGGTGGCTTCCGGAACTACACAATAAATAACAGCAAATCAACCCATCACAGCAGAGGTGTTTGGTGCAGACTCGCCTTTGATATCTGTCTGTTGAGAGCAATGGACTTCTGATGGAATAAATTTCATTAGTGATTTCAGGTGTTGAAATGCTGGATTTCAGGTGAGCAAGTTTGCTTGGGAAGGTGCTTTTTTTAAACTCTTGGAGTATGCCCGCCTTGTATGTGTCAGGTGTGGTCCGTTATTAACTTAAGTCCTTTCAGTGAAATGGGGACTCATCAGTGACTGAATGGTATTCTGCATAGGCTACAGGGGCAACTCACAAACTAAAAATCTTTGAAGTTCTGCAGTAAGTTACTTAAATCAGTACCTTAGTACTGGGGAATGCATAAAGATCAAGAAAGGTCTTCTACTGGAAAAGAATTTTTTTGTTGTTGTTCAGAATCGGTAATTACACCCCCATAATGGCTCCTCTGGTGCAGATGCAGAAGTAATAGGCGAAGAAGAAGAAATTAGTTAGGCATACAGTAATCACAGCAGTGGCTAACTCAGCTGTACAATAGCACAAGAACTAATGCAGTGGCTCCTGGAAGCAATTTCTTCATAGCAACGAGCCTCACAGCTACTTGTATGTTTTTCTATTAAAATGCATAAAGCTTCATTTTTAACACTGCTCTGTACCGTGTGAATTCTGTCACAGCAGTGGAGGCGGATTCTGGCTGTTTGTTTTAAGAGGTGGGGGTGAGGGAATATCCAAAGGAGTTCAAACGCGGACAGCACGACTTCTGCAGCAGTGCATTGGGTCGTGCCGTTATGTGCCTGCGAGGGTCAGTTGTTCAGAGGTGAATTCTGCTCTTGCTCAAGCAACAGTAAATCAGTTTTGCATCAGTCTACATCAGCTTTATAAAAGCAGAGCAAGAATAAAATTTAGCCCATGTATGCCCATTACTGTAGCTTATTTCAAAGAGTGGTGCTTTGGTCAAGGTGCTGCTTGCTTTTTTAATGAAAATGGAATTTTGTCAGCAACATTATTTTTTGGAGAATGAGCCTCCTTTGGGCCATTTGCCTTGATACAAATAACTAAAAGAAAAATCAACTTAAAAATAATTATTATATGTGGCCCTCTATGAGCAACCTTGGTTGTGACAGCGGGCAAGGGCAGGCTGCTCTCTGTTCTGGAGTTCATCTTGGGGATGTTCTCTTGAATGTTCAGGGCTGGAGACCTCCTTTGGACGAGGAACTGGCCCTTTTCACAAGGCAACTGTTTATCTCTCAGGAACACGAGATCATGAGAGGAGTGGGAAATCCACATGTGGCTTTAGCACACACCAAATGGCAGAGAGGCTTGCTTCAAGGAAGAGTAGCATGTGTGACATGTACGCGTGGTCCTGGGGATGTAGAAGATAAATATCTGGGTGCTGGTGAGCAATGCAGACGCTTTTCTCCTTGAGCATTTCTGTGAACAGCAGCATGCTTTTGCAAGTGATACTGGGATGTGTAAAAGCGTGTCCTAAAGCTTGTCAAAATGCCTCAGTTTTTAGGGCTGGATCTGTTCATCTCATCCTTCCACGCACCAAATCCTAAAGCAGCCTAGGTGGGAGCTGTGTGAAGGCTTCCTTACTGGCCCATTACATGGAGAGGCTTCTTCGAAGTGCCTGGTGACGTACATGGCCGGGGGCAGTGGTTGGATGTGGTGGAACAAGTCTCCTTCCATGCTAGGACTGGACTTCTCAAACTCTGAAGTTGTGACCTTGGTCACCTCAGAAGGTGCTGCCGCCTGCCCTTGGCAGTGCTTCCTTCTGGCGGGCTACCTCGTGGGCTTCTAGCAAACGAGGAATGTTCTCTGTTAAAATGTGTTTTCACTTTCATAAAAAGTGTTGCGGAAAAAGCTCTGTGGCAGTACTGATGAAGGAGAATGAGTTGCATTGGTTTTATTTTTGGAGTTCGCTAAATGTCTGCTAAAATATGTAATGGTACTGGTACCACTCTAATGGTAAGGTTTCTTTGTACTTGATTATCATTGCATTGTATTTAGTGGTGTGTTCCTCACCCCTGAACCATCATTGCTCTGTAAGAGGAGGAGCAGTGATGGGTTTCACTACAAATAAAGGGTGCCCTGATCATGTGCTTGCAAAATGAGGCACATGTATATTTTTACATCAGAGAAGTACTCTTCTGACACCCTGCATATCACATCCCCTCCCTGGCCCCACATCTGGAGTCTGAATTGAGGGATTAAAACAGTCTGTACAGAATTTTCCTGGAGTTTAGCTAAATGAGGTACAGTTTGCGCATAGCGTATTTTGTGATACATATTTGTACTTGCATAGGAGTATAAAAATAAGTTGTACTGTTGCCAATTTGAATTTTCCTATTAACTTGGCATGTCTGACTCTGTCTTCTGTCTCATTTTGAATCAGAAACAGATACCCAAGGATGTGGCTGACATTTTTAATGAGCCCAGTGACAATGAAGATTTTCTGGGGTTCCAAGATGATGCTTCCAGACAGAGGTTGTTGTCAGAGGACGAATATGCTAGTTTTGATTCCCTGGAGTCAGGAAAAAAGGTAGGAATGGATTGCCGTGTACCGGTTACAGTCGTTGGGTGCAGTAGTACTCTGAGACATAACTTACAGCAAAACCCATAATCTGCAGTCCTCATATTAAAAATAAATGTAAACAATCTTGCTGTCCTTTTTAAGGTTTAATGATTCATGCTTTTAAAAACTCTTTCATAATACAAAAAGGAAATTGGGTTTCATTAGGTGAGTTGAAGTGAAGTAGGTAAGTATAGCAAACCGGAATGAGAGAATTACCATCCTGGGCTGACGTGCTCTGGATACATAAGACAGTGGAAATGCATGGTAATAGATGGCCATTTGTGAGTATGAAGACTTCAGGGTATTTCTTCCAGAAATGTATCTCAGTGCTGTTTCTGCACTGAAAACAAGTTCTAGTGGTGGTGACCCACAAAACCCATCAGCTCCTCCTGCTGTGATTGTGCGATTTGCTGATTCTCTGCTCTCTTGATGGTGAAATAGCTTGGATCATTATTTTCATTCTCTGATTTGGTAGCTGGAAGCACCAGCTGAATTCACAGGCAAGGAAGAGAATGGGTGTGCTGTCCTGGCTGCCAGAAAATTCAGTTTTTAGTCTTTTAGAAGCTTTATAATTATATACTTGATAGATATGTGCTAAAAGATACCACTGTCAGCTGTGCTCTCGAAAAGGTGCCTCCATTCCATTAACCACAAAATTTAAAATAGCTTTTAAAATTTTTTTCCTTTTCTTTTCCCAGTCCATCAGGTCAGTATCTGGTTAAGAGGTGCTGAGGACAAGGAAGATGACTAGTGCTAGGAAGGGACACAGAATGAGGATTGTACAAGTATGTACTATTTCTGAGCCTTTGTAGGCAAATGGCCTCTCTGCCTCGGTTTCCCAACATGTGAGATGGATATTATGATAATGATCTTTGCTGCAAAGCATTTTAAAATCATCTGATGAAAAATGCTGTGGAAGAGCTAGGTATTGTTAGTTTAACATGTGTTACTGAGAATCCCAGTGAGACTTGTCCCAAATTTACAGCTGGCACTGCAGCCTTCCTCAACATTCCTGTGTTTCCCTTGGGCTGAGAATTATTTTAAGTCTTCATCAGTATTGAGTTTAACTCCTTTACCACTAAATGGTACAAAAAAAACCCCACAATTTTTTTATCCTGAGTTCCATCCATTTATGATGCCAAACACCACTGTTGCTGAGAGATCATAGGTACTTGTACAGGAAACTAAAAGGTTTTGGTGCAAAGAGCAAAATGATGGGAAGTTCATAAAAATTCTGCAGTTGTTGGGAGAGGAGGCAGGGCAGTTGCCCTGCCAGGAAGGTGAATGGGGTGTTGGTGCATCAGGTGTTCCCTTGGATGCTGATGCGCAAATACATTAACAAGTAGTGACCTCTTCAGGTCTGCTTTTCCTCAGGGCTTTCTGCAATTCTACTCCCATAATCTGCATTTTTGCTGAGTTACAGTTGTTTCTCCTATAGGTATTTTATCTTGCATAGACCATTCTTCCTAGGTGTAACACCATAGCTCTAGGTGTGTTATTTCTGGTCACTTTAGCTAACAAACAGCTTCCC